GTGTGCGTGCGTATGCATGTGTATTTGTCTGTGCGTGTAGTATGTGAGTGTTTTGTGCGTATTTATGATTTTTTGTCTGTGCGTTCATGTAATTGCTTTATGAAAGTGTAATTTTTACGTGCATGTGTGTGTTTACAAGGTTGACTGCATACATATGGTACCATAAATTCATCCATCCGTCAATCCAACCATTTTTATTTGTTTGGGTCGTCAAACCAAACAAATAATGGTAGCGAAATTTCAGAGCCTAATGCTGTTAATTGCAAATGCCTAAAGTAGTCCACTTTTTTGAAGCGGTTACTTCCCTTTATACGTAACGCCGAAAAATTCAGGGGGGATCAATGCGTAAAGATTGTCAAATGACAGGCGCATTAATTTTCAAGCAAATTAGTTCCCGAATGGTCGAATATTTCTAAAATTGTTTCATTTTTTATAGATATACATGTTTACAGAAGCTCCATGATTATTTACATCTGTGTTAAACAACAGGTTTAGCGTCGAAATAATAAGTTACAAACCCTAATTTAGAATAATATGGTTTTCTTCAAGCTATTTAAATAAAACTTCACCGTGGCCGAGGGGTTTGCATGCTCGCGTAAGAATCGAGAGGTCTGGAGTTCAAATCCCAGTTGAGGAAACTCTTTTTTTAAGTCAATTTGACTATCAGTGTTGCAAGTAGTCTTATAGCCAAATTACTACAGTTAAAACACTGGAAAGCATTGGTGGCACTATACAAAAACAAATTGGTTTATTATCTCACAATCTTCACCTTTCTGTCATTCTGAGACCCAAACAAATTCAGCGACGTCTGTGCTTTGATTATATCATTCGATGATATGATGAAGTTAATTACTGCAATTATGACACATTGTGTTTTTGACTTTTCAGAATTTATAAGGGAGAAAAAGATACAGCAATGGATACTTATAAATGCTAATATTGTGTATTGACATTTTTAATATTCCAAGACAGCATTAAGCCTTTGGTGGAAACACATCAGTTGAACTGCCTGAAATATAGAGAATATGAGTTAAACAGTGTCACTGGTGTATCGGGTATAGAACTAAAGACAAATACACATACATACGCACGCACACACACATACACATAAGTGCAAACACGCACGCACATGCGCATACACACAAAATATATACATACATACATACATACATACATACATACATACATACATACATACATACATACATACATACATACATACATACATACATACATACACACATACATACATACATACATACATACATACATACATACGTCCGTCCGTCCGTTCGTCCGTCCGTCCATCCATCCATCCATCCATCCATCAATCAATATATTGAATACGGATAAACATGTTGATTTTGATCCTTAAAATCTGATTTAATTTATAGTGCAATAGAAATAATAATCATTCTTAAAAATTATTTTTTTTTTGTTTTAAATAAATCATTTTATGTGGCAGACATCTCGGGTAACACAGCCATTTACTGCACGGGACATGTCTACTATATGCCATTATTTATAATAACACTGACTTGATGGATGCCTTTATTTATTATAAAGTGTATTCGTATTAAGCGTTAAATTTGCCTTTACTTTCTTTGAATTTAATATTTCAGAAACATATTAATAGATCTTGCTACCTTTTTATATTGAAATACAGTGCGGTAAATGGAGATAAAGGCCTCTCAGCTAAGATACAACATATAATAGAAAGTAATAATAAAAATAATATAATTAGAAAGTATCATGAATAAAGTAATATTTTAAATGAGCAAAAAAGTTTTACTCTTTCAAAAGCGCTGAAAATTGTTTCTTTGAACGGCGTTCAGCGTTATTCATTCTTGCCGATGAATTGCTGTCGATGTTATCATTAAAAAGAGGCGAACAGCTGATGACGTTACTAAAATTTTGATGACACTCAAACTTAAATACCTTATAACTTTAACAGAAAGCTTTTTTGAAGGTATGGTTTGGAGTATTTAATGACGAAATGTTGACGTTTACGAATCGTATGATAAAAGGATTTATTATCATGAGAAAATATAAGTTTTTGTGACTTTAAACTAAAACACCGCATCTCATCGGATAGTGTGGTTATTTTCAGTCAAAATTCACGTGAAGTAAAGCTTGCACACGGCCAGAAATTTGTAAGCATGTCCCTTAGGATGTTGACTATGAATCCATAACATTGATTTACTCAAACATAGTTAAGATATGTTAAAAATAGATGAATACTTACCGTACGTCAATTGTATTCCCCGCGCCGACATGTATACATACTGGTACAGCTGTGGACGCTGGAACAGCTGTCTGCCCATTTGATTGTACGGTGTGGTACTGTAATATCGACCTTACAACTAATAGATTTTAGTCATGATTATCACCACTAGACCATGCGTCGCCCGGACTTTGATGAAGGGTCCTCTAGCGCTTTCAGGCGCAGTGCTGCATTTTTCTATAATTGTGGGTAGTGATGTTATTCATTATATGTAATCTCCACCTACTTAAAGTTTACTCATATATTGTTACATACATTATATAGATATATACATATTGTTTAGGTTGAGTAAAGATGTACAGCAATTAAAGAGTATAAAATAAAACCATTCGGATCTTATGTTTTACCATTCTTATAAGAATTCAGTTAGCTAATAACAATCACAGTATATAAACGATTTGTACCCCAACCGGATCTTGTGAGAAGATCTCAACATCAGTTCCGTACAAACAGGTGGGGTGACCCATAAAACTTTTTAAGACGGCTTGCATTTAATCTGTGACGGTATTTAAACATTTGAATCATATTAAGAAATATTTTTTCTTTGCTTATAGATACATCTATAACCAGCTTCTTTAGATTTATGCGCATAAAACGCTGTGCTCTCCGCTTCGTGTTTTGTTTATGTCAACACACGCCGATTACACAAGCAAATTTATGCCTAAAATTGTTTTATTTCACTATAACTCATATCTGAATGTGAACTTTATTGTCTTACCTTGTGTTATCGCACAGACACTTGTGTAGATATCTTTGAATATTGATAAAAACACAGTAAATAATAGAGGCGAACATTCTGATAACTGTACTCGTCTTGCTAAAACAATTTTAATGATTTGTACCCTGCTTGTGTTTTCACTGAACCATAACTTGCGAGTCACTTTTGATGATTTTTATTGTTTTTGTCCTATGTTCCAAATTATATCTTGCAGAATATGAAGTTATTGTGTCACAAGAGCATGACACATCTTTTAGTTCTATATAAGTTACCAATACTGCACATGAATGGACCTTCATCATGTTTTACTTTCCATGGAAATACCAGCATGAAGTAGCTGTTAATACGAATTAGGAAAAAATTATTTCTTGACAGGAATTATCAACCAACAAATCCTATCTTCATTTACCATTCATTTTTCTTTGAAAAGATATAAAGCTTAAGATATAACATATTAAGTACTATAAACGTTTCTACTACGGCATTACTGTTTGTTTTGACGTGACCGTTGTATTATAAGTTATTTTGGTTTTGGAGTGATATATGCGGATATATTACCTGCTAAGATTTTATATCACCCGAGCCGTTACATTTCTTGATTTGAGATTATTTTTCAAGTCATTCTTGTCTTAAAATTTTGACTGTTTTTGTAATATCATTTGCTTTTAAAGTTCTTTTTATTTTATTTTTTTCAGTTCTTTTCGAATAATTCTAAAGTCTTTTGAGTATGATTTTTATGTTTTGTTATTGTTATTTTAAGCTTTTGTTCTGATGTCCAAATTCCGAACAATAGTGTTTCCGATTTTTTTTAAAGAGAAAGGGGGCAATGAAAACTAAATTCTTCCATTTTGCCTGTCAATAAACAAATAAATACGTTAAATAATTAATGTTCTCTCCATTAAATCTTTAAAAATACTCGCAAGTCAGGGTACAGATAAAATTCGTAAACTCACAGGTAGGGTTCACAATCACCAGCAAGTAACGTTCAGTTTACGGAATTGACCTCCTTGGTTAAACTCTTAATTTAATGTTCAAAATACAGCAATATTTTTGCAGATGACTAAATTATCGTTTGTTATTGATTATTTTAGTAGTTGGATATCACAATTCAATGTTTAACTAAATAAACCTTGAAGTAAGACGGATTTTTGTTAGTGTTCAGTGTTGATCACCTGAAAGCAGTTCGTGAGTTTCGATTATTTTATAGCTTTAATGCTAACATTTATATTTTGCATAACTTAAACGCTTAATAAAGTTTCTCTTCTGCGATATAAATATAGATTTACTAACCTAACGTCCATAAGTATCAATATAAATACCAATATATTAAACAAGTTAAGCGTCAGAAAATGGCTGACACTGACATCTTCTCACAAGATCCGGTTTGGGTTCAGATCGTTTATATACTGTGACAATGCGTGGATAACGAATCATGTAAAGGTCACCGCCACTCGTTACTCATTCTCTGATAGGGATAATTTTGTGGAGGATTTACATTCATTCAATTCCTAAAGGATTTTATACAAACAGGGTGGTTTTTGTATATGATACAGTAGAAAACGTAATTGTCGTGTTTTTGCTTCAAGTTTAACCATAACAAATCTAATCCTTTTCATCGAGGTGTTCCGTTTGTATCAAATCATCAGGAACGCAGGAAAGTTAGATCTCCTCGGCTATTATGCCTTGCAATAGCTACTTATTTTACGATTGGAACACAGAGTAGGAGCAAAAGCAACTTTTCTGCCTCTGATTAGGACTTTGAACACAATAGTAAGAAACGGATGCTGTACCTCGGTGTAACATGCGTTAAATAAACTAATAATGTAACCGAATAGTAAGTAAATACTGGTTGTAGTTGACTGAGTTTGTTCCATATCGTGTAATAGTTGAATTAAGTAAAATTATAGATCTGACATTAAACAGTGCATTGTTCATTGTTTATATACCAAGTCATATTGATATTTGTCGACGTAGCCCAGTCGGAAGTTATTTGTATATGGTTCATGTATATATCCAAGATATTTATTCATAACAAATATTTACAAAATATAAAAATAGACGTAGTACATATGCTATGACGATATGTAAAGTGCAAATAATAGAATACATGTATTACAAAAAGAATATTTCTCGTTCTATGACACATTGTTACAATGTATGATAGTACATATATTTCAATGGACAATTTTAAATTGAGTCTGTTATTTCAACGGTATAGACTTTGTTTTCCTTTGGATGTCAAATATATACTTGTTATTCATTTTAAACAAAGAATTGTTTAAATCTGTCACTTTGTAGGTATATTTTTATTTCGTGTTATGTCTGAGATGATTGTGAGTAATCGTCAGTGTTCCAATTGAGTTGAGAGTAGTATTTTCTTTTCATCTGTTTCATTTATTAGATCTATGTCGGTCAGCTGCTCGCTCTAAAGTAAGTCTTTTAGAAAAACTTGTCCCATTCACACCTTTGTTTAAATATGACGCAACATCTTTATTATTTTTGATCAGTATATAATTTATTAAATATCAAAACACTGCTTTTTATGTTTAAGCGCCCCTAAGCGCACACCACGGGAGTGTACTCAGATAACAACATTCAGGAATGCCTCTAATAATGTTCTTCAACACTTATATAAGTACATTTATTTTAAATGTGAATGTATACACTAGTGCAATTAAGTATTACGTAAGAAAGTATACTTAATAAAGGTATAGATACTAAGTAGTACAAAGCTATTGTTTCTTAGAAAAGTTCCCACTTAGCGTCTGTAGTTTCTGTAACAGGTCTGATGGAACCGGTTTACTTTCTACATCACATTTATCTAATGAATTAAGAATTTGTTTCGTCGTAACGTTTGTGAGTTTGTGGCGGGATAAAATGGTCGCACATTGCTTCTTGTCTCTGTTTCTTTCTATCGTCTGCTTCATATAGAACGCTGTGTCATCCCAATATATCAACTGCAATATAATTTTTTTAAAAAGTCTCGTGTAAAATGACGTTGCAATCAAATAATATACTGGCATTATGTAATTTCTTGTAACAAATCACTTGCTAAATACGATATGAAATACAAAAGAAACAAACAGTGTTCAAGTTTCAAATAGAATGATGGTCATGAAACTTGGTACATTGGTACAAATAAAAGCTATTTGAAGTTTTATTGAAGCTAGTATTTCCAAATTTAATATCTAAAAAAAAGTGATTTGTGGAGTCAATGATCCGAAGGACCAGAAAAATTATCAACACTGAAGTGAAGTACGGAGTAACGTTTTACGGCTGCCACATAGCATTTGATACCTGCTTTTGCGATATATAAATATCTTAAATGAAACTTTGATACACGATAATGCATGCTATGTATTACGTGCTATATTACCAGTAGTATATTTGAGTTGATATAAACATTTATACCACAGCTATTATTTTGAATGTTTCAAACATTTCAATAGGAGTATCATATGACAGATGATATGCTTCAACTTTCATCTTCCCATTTAAACGTTCCACGACATCTTCAACGAAATTCTCTACCCAGAATTCTCTTTGACCAAATCCACATTCTCTGAGAAGACGTCCACTCGTAAGTTGTAGGTCGGTGTCTACATCGGTTGGTAAACATATTACTGTATGGAAAGAAAACGCAATTATTATATCGTGTCCTTCAAGAGGAATTCTTCTTAACACATATCAGTGTATGTATACTTATTTGTGATAATTTCTAATAGTATAAAGAGGTGGTATAATATGCAATTTATCTTGATAGGTACAAGGTATAAGTACATCCATAACCGACAAAGGTGAGTGATAATAGTATCATTCAAGTAAGTTGTACCTTTGATTTCATTAGTTTCTTCATTTACATAAAGTCAAAAATAAGTACTACTTAACCAAGTGCATTATGTTTGTGCATAATACAATCATGGGGGCGTTAGTCTCAATAAAGGATAGACTAACTAATGTAGAAAAATAACATCAAGAGCTAGAAATTATATAATTGTATTGTATATTAAAACTTAACAGCTGATGAGCGTAAGTCTATGATATAAGTATTTTATGCAATGCAAAACCAGTTTTAATAAAACTTCCAGTTTAGAGGTATATAATTATCTTTATTTTGACTTTACACTGAAAATTGGAACTGATTTTGTTATATATCTATAATATTTTGTCTGCAATCAAATTGCCTTTCGAAAAAAAAACATTCTATTAATTCAAGATCATGAAGAGACGGTTATTCTGTGTATGATATTGTATATAATTTCATAATCACATTGTTGAATATTTTAGGTATACAACAAAACGTGTTTCCAAGCTGTAGCTTTTATAAATATAATTAAAACATTGCCAATCTGCTTTGACCGTTCATATCATGTCAAAAAGACAATAATGTTTACCTTTGAATATATTGAGATCAGTTATTTTCTTCGGATGATATCTCCGTCTCATCTTACAGAAATAAAGGACCAATACATTTCTCCATATTGCATGTATATCAACACTTAAACTTACAAATAATCCAAACACTAGACACAGGGATGAACTGAACATCCATAACACACAAAATGTTAAAACTAATACCAGAAACATATTTGTATAATTCATTTTGCTGTCCTTGTATAATAAACATGAAAAAGAAAACAACGTCCCGTTTAAAATCGGTCACTTTAAATGCTATGGCTGATTACATAAACACTGTAGTATAAATGACCTACATTGATAACTTTATAACATGTTTAAACACCTTTTAAAAACGCTCCGTTTAGGAACTTACAAATTCTGTAAATTTAACTGACCATGTCTATCTATCTCTGGATACTGCCAACCTCTCTTACGAGTGTTATAGGCTGGAATCTGTACTTGTATGTATTATTCATAGAGAGAATTTTAAAGCCTTTCATTAACGACAACTGAAATTTTAAATTCTATTTGCTTAAAAACATAAAGATCAGGATCAACAAGTTAGCTTGATAAATGTCACTAAGTACGAATAAAAAAATGAACAATTTTTCAATGTGTGAGGAAACGAAACCAATTGTCGCATTATTGTACTCACTTTCAGCAAATGAGCATCAACTTCGATAAAGTTTTTATCATTATTGTTATTATTATTATTATTATTATTATTTTATAATTATTATAATCATTAATATAATGTCAAGTCCGTGTCAATGAAAATGTAAGTGACGCTTTTGACAATGAAACATTTTAACATTACATGTTGTATGCATAGCTTGTCATAAAAACATTTATTTCAATTAATTTTGCAATTTGGGCAAAAAGTATTTGTGTCCCCATCATATATGAGTATTTGAATCTCAATTAAGCTATAAAGAGGTAAACTCAAACACAAATTATTTTTATATCAATTTATTAGACGACACTACTTGTTTCATATATTATTTTCTATCATCAAACACCTTTCCACGAATCTTTAACTTGTTTGAAATAATCCGAATGGAATTCTTGGAACGTTATAACTACATTTTCAAACTTGGATTTATTCAAGGTGGTATTTTTGCTCCCCAATAATGTAGACATCTTGGTCCCTACAATTTGATGAACAGATAACACGGTGGCACACAGACATTTATCAGCGTTCCTGAGAATAGATTGTGTTACATAAAATGCTTTTTCGTCACAGTAAGATATCTGAAATATACAGTCAGAAAAAAATGTTTGAAAACAGTAAATGACATAATACATCACAAATATGAATTAATAAATCGACAATGTATTGATCTATACGATTACTTTATATGACGAGTATTAATGACTACTTTATAAGACGAATATCAATGATAACTTTATAAGACCATCAAGCATTCGAAATATTTAACATCACATAAAGTTTATTCTTATTCTTTTTGTGTCAAATTAGAATTTACCCTTTTTTCATTCAAATAATTGTGTTTAATAAATAAATGAGATTGACTGCAACTTGCTATGGTAAATTGTTCATTTAATGGTTTCAATAAAAGTATCGCTTGTGACATTATGATAACACATACTCTTATCAATATTTTTTTGTATTAATTTTGCAATTCACGTATTCTTCGTCAAACTTACACTTCTTGTATTATAACTTATATTCACGTAGTGATTAGACTTACTTTAGTAACAATTTCAAAGCTTTCAAACACCCTGATTGGATACTTGAAGCATGTATATCGCCCTGATTGAAGTAGCTCCGCCTTTCGTGAGCTTAAAGCATCATACACATAGTTTTCTGTCCAAAACTTTAGCAGAGCAAAGTCGCATTCTTTCAACAGACATCTTTCTGTCAGAAGCAAATTAAAGTCTGTGTCTGTTGGGAGACACAAAACTGCAATAAAAAAAGATTATAAGACATTTAAAAGGCAACCAACTTTAACAATGACTATGCTGAATCTGTGATTTGAATCAGTCCATTTTGGATTTTAGTATGAAAAAATAACTTACAATACTGAGACGATTGATAATGATGATACCATGTTACCACGTTGTTGACCTTTATTCGAAATATTCATACAGACATGTGCATTATAAAAACCAAACAAAGTGTGAGGGGTAACTTTTCCCCAATTTTTTTAATTGTCGAGTTAAACGGTTTTTTTGCAGAAACGGGATTTATAAAAAGGGAAAAATGGATCAACCTTGTTAGTTTTAAATTTAATCCCAAAATTTAAACATAAAAAACTGAAAAACCTCAGTTTAAATTGAGTTTGTACATAAAGGGAAATTAATAAAAAAAGTTTAATACCCCTCTCGCCCCAAAACCAAAAACTAAAACCCAAAATAGCATTTTTTATAGGGAAAAAATGGTTATTTTGCCCATCAAAGCAAAGGTTATCGGGGAAACTTTTAGAAAATTTTGGAATTAAATTATACAGACGGGCCCTAAAAACCAGTTTTAAAATTTTTTTTTATTATACTCAAAAGGGATCACATATTTTTAAATATAAAGCACAAATAAAAATTAAATTATCTTGAATAACAAATTTAGTTTTTCGAGTAATAAAATGTACCATAAACGGTTAAATACCTTTTAAAACTGTTCGTTTCCATTAACTTTCTTGAATTAAATCGTCTTGTTATTTTGTAAAAACAAGAGAAAATAAATGTTTTAACTACATGATACAAATCATAAATAATGCACATAAATAGTGCAATCAATGAACATATTAGTGATTCAAAACTCCAAAAAACACCAAAAATTACACAGAAAATTACAAATAAAAGTGTAGCTCCCATGTTTAACGCAATGTTTAACACTTTAAACGCATTTATTAAATCACAAAACATAACATTCGTTTTTATTAAAGCATATATAATTGATCTATTGTATACCCTATTGTCTATAAATATATTTTACAAATCTATATGACATTTTAAACCTGAAAGTTTAAAGGTATTGGGTAACAATGTGGACGATTTACACTACTCTTTTACAATACTCAATTATTTTATTGCATTAAACATTATACAAATATAGACTTTTTAGCTGTTGAATATGATGTGATATGTACTGAAAAAATTAATATTGACCGATGCGATAGCCGAGGTCAATATTACTTTTTCAGTACATATCACATCATATTCAACAGCTAAAAAGTACATATGAGCCGTGTCATGACAAAACCAACATAGTGGGTTTGCGACCAGCATGGATCCAGACCAGCCTGCGCAATCTGATCAGGATCCATGCTGTTCGCTATCAGTTTCTCTACTTGTAATAGGGTTTGTAGGCGAACAGCATGGATCCTGTTCAGACTGCGCGGGTGCGCAAGCTGGTTTGAACCCATGCTGGTCGCAAACCCATTATGTTGGTTTTGTCATGACGCGGCTCATACCTGTTTTATTATATAATTTATAAATAGCTTTTATATGGCTTATCAAATTTGCCATTGCATACGATGGAAATCATTATTTTTCAGCTTGTCTACTTTTTCCATAATTTGACCCTTTCTTTTAAGTGAGCACATTGGCACGCTAACTCGTATATAATGTTAAGACGGTAACTAAAATAGACTTATTTAATACTTATTTACGAGTCACTCAACGTTTTTTTCTGAATAATAACAGCAAACTTGGCAGGACGTCACGTCATAGTCACAGACACTTGGGGTGTGGAGCTCAAAACGCCTTTAAAATCCAAACAAAATGCATATTTGTCAAACCCAACCCATGTACTGATCATATATATAAAAAAACTTAATATAAGCCGTTTTGAAAAAGAATCATATTTCAACGTCTATAATAATACACAAGATAAAAATGTTCGCTGGAAAAAAATCCCGACCCTACCGTCATAATCACCATGTATTTCATTCCATTTCCAATATTTTCACATAATACTTTGGTCCATCGACACAGAAGATATAATTCTTCACGGTGATGGTCAATTTTAAACTTCAACGGTAATATAAACAACGCAACAGCCTAAATAAACATCAAGATTATCGCCGTTTTACTCCATTTACAAAATCTTTCCATAAATTCAAACGTGGCCCAGCTTTGCCGTGCACAAATACGCCCCGCTTTGAACCAATATAATACCGAATGGCTCCGAACATAGCCGACTGGTTCCCATCTTCAAAGCGCAACGCATTTTGCACACGGCAAAGCTTTATGGAAAGATTTTGTAAATGGAGTAAAACGGCGATAATCTTAATGTTATTATATATTAGGTGCGATTTTTCATTGCAAAGTAAAAAGAAAATGCTTAATTCAGTAGAACCTGTATAGAATTTTTCGAATTGTTTAAAATTGATTTCTAAAATCATGATAAAATGGAAATACTTACAGAAAATTACATTCGTTTTCAATGGAGTCGCTGTTCACGTGCTTCCAGATTCTTTGTAATGGTTATTTGATGATGCTCAAAATCTTGATATAGCAGTTTTATTTTCTTCTGCTCATTAAATAAAATAAATAAAAGCGGAATCCATTAAGAAATAAATTGAACATGTTGCAGGCTCGGATAGACTGAGGTACTCGGGTCAAGGTCATGTTTCTGGCTAGTTCAAGGAAGTGGACTCTAAGTAATTGATATAAGTTGCACAATAATATAATATATGTATCTGCATTAAAGATGACTAGTTATTTCGCAAGTTTGCATAGTATATATATTTTGCTTAATTATTAATTATTGCTTTTGATTTTGCACATATGAGATTAACAAATTTCTGTTTAGTTGGCCACGTATAATAATATCTTTTTATATTTTGATCTTAAGTCCTGGAATTTAGAACATATTAATACAAACTGATACTCATTTTCTATAAGACCGGCATTACAATTTCTACACAGTCTTTCATTTCTTGGTATATTTCTATGCCGTCCACGTTCAATAGCCAAATTATGAGAAGATGAACGAAATTTGGATAAAACTACCCTAAATTTCGGTTCAACGATAAAATCCAAATAGTTTTCAAATTCGAATGAATGTTTAAATAAACAATATGTATTTAATCTAGACGAGTTATTAATTGAGGAATACCAACTTTGATAGAATATGTCTAAAATTCGTTGTTTAATATTATTAAAATCTATATGTATAGTAAACTGATTTTCCCACATATAAAACAAGCCAGTCTGCTCTAAAATAGTCTTAACAGTATATGCCCAGTTTTTACCACTACAAGTTACACCATTGTCGGCATCTGTTTTTAACATAATAAAAATTTTATACAATATAGTTCTTTCATTAAGTTTAAGAAGTTTTAACCAGTATTTGATCAATATTAGTTTTCTATGAATGGATATTGGTGTACGACCAAGTTCACCATATAACACATCTACATTGGTTGATTGTTTCACACATAACAATCTTCTACAAAACTTTGTATGTATAATTTCTATGTTCGGACCACGGGACCAGCATGATGCCCCCACACTTCTGCAATATATACAATACAATAATACATGTATATGTACAATGCCAATTCGTAAGTTGATAAGAGACAAAAAAAAAAGATTTACTATTTACGTTTGTAAATTTAAAATATCACAGACTAGTGAATAGCCTAAGTCATGAACAGAACCGTAAAGTTTTTGTAGTAGTTTTGTTAACTGTATACCATACTTTTCTTATGTGATGTCGATATGCCGCGGTAACTTGGCGATGAACATGTATTTGTTTTGCCAATAAAACATTTGACTTGACATGTCTTGAGTAATTAAAGATATAAAAAGTTACATTTAATAAAATGAGGTTTAAAAAATTAGCAAATGTATTTTGAAATAGTACAGTAATTTAAAACTAGTTTTCTTTTGTTCAGTATGTTGGAGTTAAAACACAATATCTGCATAAGAAATAATATATCCTACTTTTTCAATGTCTGCGAGAGAATTACAACCATTGTTTTAGCATTTGTGCTTCTCGAACCAAGTTAATACAGATGGAATTATATAGAGGTCATCATATATGTTTTACATCTTCTACCATGGTTTGACAGTGGAACACAATCGTTGTCCCACTTGCAAACATTGTAGTGTTATGCCTAAACGTTCTGTACCAAAATGAAATAATGCGAAAGCACCCATATGTGACTTATTCAATAGTTTTCAGTTACAAAAGTTGGAAACAAAGTGATCCAACGAAAACATAAGTCACGACAAAATTACAGGAAAATTGTAGACTCGGTTTGATTGAGTCTGTACATGAGGGATAATGAATAAGTGCAACAGTCCTCACGCCCCCTAGCACTGGCTTGAGCTTAATAGCGCTAGCATCAATGATCCCAAATGACCAGAAAAATATAACAACACTGAAGTGAAATACGGGCAACTTTTTACAGCTGCCACACGGCACTTGACACCTGCTGTTGTGAAGTATAAAAATCTGGAAACAAGTGATCCCTAGGAAGTATTAATCACAACAAAATGACATGAAAATTGCAGACTCGGTTTGATTGAGTCTGTACATGAGGGATAATGAATAAGTGCAACATCCCTTACGCCCCCTAGCACGGCTTGAGCGGTACTCAATTCTCAACACTTACACTTAAATGTTTTATATAAACTTAATTTGTTTCTTCAAGTACCGTTTCCCGCTGATTCTTGATTTTCTTGATTGACAGTATTATTCCGATTATGATTATAATAAGCAATATAATAACAACTCTTGTATTTGTATCTGATTTTCAAAATTAATGTACAATCATTCCATATTATACTTCTTAAACAATGGGCAGAATTTGAAATTCCAATTCTAACATCTAATATTCCAACACCTAATACTAGACCATAAAAATATTTGTTTATTTCATATTACTTATTCTACTCCAGTTTCTTAACAAAATATATTACAGGTTTCTACATCGCCACACATTGCTGTATTTTGAAGTATATCTTCCAACATACAAAAGGTAATGTGCAGTTGTATTCAGCACAGCATTAAAAAAAGATAAAGTATCACAGCCCCAAACAGAAAAGCTTTAATGTTAGCAATTAGTATTCCTAATGCTCTATAATCAGCCTGAGCAACAGTTATATCAGTAATGGAATAACCTAGATGTTCTTTCAATACAAGATCAAAATATTTATATATAATAATTATTTAAAGTTGTATCTTCTATTTTAAACACATAATCTAGACCAGTAAAAGATGTGTTTCGAAAGCGTAGAATGTTGTATTTTTACCAGTTATGAAGAATATGTAACATACAAGTTCTATTTCACTTTCTGTTATAAATACATTACCATCGACATATATCAGTTAATTGCATTAAATATTATCAAAGCATTTAAGTGGTTACTTTTTATCCGACGCATTTCTACTTAATTTTTATCTCTGACGCGTCAAGTTATCGGTCGTATGTTCAATGCGCTACTTTTTTCAATATATAATCAATATATAAGTTTAAGATAGAAGATGTGGTTAAATACAAATGAATTCAAAACTAGGTACTAAAATTTAATTGTTTATATAGCTCTGCAATTTTTATCCAGAGTCAAGAGAATATGGCTATACTGTCACGATACAGAGTAACACAGAAAAACTATGCAAACATTTATATAAATAATTTTATTAGTGTAAAAAATATCCAAATACGCAAAATACGACTAAAATGAGATAAAACATTATATGATATACAATGAATGTTTTGTTTAAAATATATGATACATTGTACAAAATATTGACCCTTTAAATGTTCGAAATCGACAATATAGTAAAAGCAAGTGACGAGTTACTCAGTAAAGATGCGGACAGTATCAGATTAGTGGCGTATATATTTGACAATCACTTAAAGATATTGAACAGAAGAAAAGAAATGTGCTTTCGAATGACAGTAAACTCTGAATATCTATCTATAAAACATATATAAAAATATCAGCTTCAAGTATAAGATATCAAAATGTGATATAACAAATATTAAAATATAACTTAAAATAAAAATATTAAATAAAAACAATATTCAATATACATGTGTACAATGTAACTAAAATATGTGTAAGATTATTCAATGTCATCTATAAGGAATTTTAAAGGCTTTTTGTCCTTTACTTCTTATTAAAATACTCATGTTCATATATACAACTTCTGAATTTTCAATTTATAATTGTGTTGATGATCCAGTAAATGATTTGTTAACGTGACCATTTTTGTTATTCATTGCATCAACTTCAGGGCTCTCTCCAGGGCTTGCTTTTTGTGGTAATCTCATCGAAACATCTAAATATTATAACAAAAAATGTATTTAAAATTTGTATTGACAGGACCACCTAATGGTCATTTAATAATTTGTTAAAACGCGACATTCGTGGAGCTCTTAAAGAATAATGAAAATTAATGTTTTCTAGTTCAACAAGGAACAAATCTATGTTATATTAAACAATATTTACGAAAACATTCATAGCAGTTAAAGGTTTCGTAGAATACATGTATATAATTTCTCTAAAAAAGCTCGGTTGTTGTTTTAAGGTCAACCAGGATCGAATTTACTGCTTAAACCCCGGTTGTTGTTTTAAGGTCAACCAGGATCGAATTTACTGTTTGAAGTCTAATCGAGATTATTTTTTATAGACATACGATTGTCTTGTAATACTTATGAATGTCTTTCATTTATTTTATATATATTATAACAACCAATACAATGATTTTCAGAAAATGAAAGTCTAACCTTCATTGATGGCTGTCACTGTACTAGATGCAATTGCTGTTTTCGCCAGACCAGCTAAAGTGTCGCCCTTTTCTCCCCAACCATGACCGTACGCCTCCGCTGGATAGGCGGTTTCTCCGTGTTTCGGTATGTCCAAACCTAATACATAAATCAATTACTTGTTTCTATTACTTATGATTGCCCACATAATTTCTATCAAGCATAATAACATTACTCATTATGTCAAATTGAATGTTTTCTTACGGAACGTCAGTGGTTCTATTTAGGTGCAAGCTTGTGCCTGGAATAATGTAATGGAACAGACACCTGAGGTCTTCCGCCACTAGTAAGTCTGGAACCTCGCCATATGACCATGACAGTGTCTGTGTTAGCAACAAAGTACAGTTATAACTTAAGATATGTCCAACTTGCCGTAGTAGCATAGCTAAGAGCTAAATGGGAAAATAACTGGAAAATAGAAGACACAGTTATGTAACTTGCCAAGATTTGGTTGGACGGAACATGTTTGTTATGCAGGTGGAATAAAAAGAAAATAATAGACAGATTTCCAGCGGCGGAGTACATGAATAGCATTATTATTCGAAATCGACGTTACAAACATCATCAAATTATAAAACAACATACACACCTTTCATCTCATATTCAAAAGAAACTCGGAGCATTTTTGTTTTCTTGAGAGTGAAGAATAAGATGATACTGAGGATGGCTGACCACACAAATATCGCACAAAGTCCGGCTAGCTGCCATCCTAAATGCTGTAAAGTAACGATTAATATTGCAATAAAACGATAAAACAAGAGTTGTAGGGTTGGTCAACGCGCTCCACTTCTAACAGTGTTGATACATATCGAAAAACAAGACACTGCATATTGTAGGAAATAACAGAAAACATTCATTCAGAGTTTTGGTTAGTGCACTAGGAATTTTTTAAGTTCATCATTATTCAGTCAAAATCCATGTCAGAGTAATGGGCTTTGGGAAGATACCTTCAATAATAAAATAATAAAGCATGAATAATCACGGGTGATGAACTGTTACACGGAGGATGGAGTTCTTATGATAACTTGTCAGATTCAGTTATGATCCTTAGACATTTATTAACATTTAAGTGAATGAGCACCTACAGTTGTTTTTAAGATTAAACCAGACTTTTTTTAAAATTGGAACATCACGACGCGCAAATGCCTGAAGTTCATAAATTTTGTTTTATAAGATGTGAAATAAATATTTGAATTATATTTCAGCGATTATTTCAAGATTTTATCACAAATTTATTCTCATAATACAGAAAAGGTCTTCCAGATACAATATAGTTTATAACCAATTTTCTGATAATTTAAGACTTTTCCTTTCAGAATCAACGAGTGACAGCAATGAATGACATTTCGTTAATTGATTTGAAAAATAGTTAAAAGTACAAAATAATTATCTGATAACTGGTAAATCTCATATTCTAATACCATATTGAAACATGATTCATTGGTTCATTACCTGTTGCTATAGCTAAACATTAATTATATAATGACAGAAAAACTTTAGTGTTTATAAATTCCATTTACGTTATCTTACCTCAATGATTATATAATAATGATAAATAACTATGGCATCATCTTTATAAATTGTCTTATCAACATATAACATTGTAATAAAATACAAGTACCATTTTAATATAATACAAGAAGTTTTCCCTTCTAAAATGTCAACACGCTGTTATATAACAATAAGATATTGATGGTATAGGAAACTAGAAATGTTAACACCATGACTGAAAATGAATTATAGTGTTCTTTGATATGTTTATAAAATTTCTAAAATTATACCACAAATCACTAGCCATATATATTATTAATTATAAAGATTTTGACGGGTTATATGGCCTTATAAAAACGGTTGCTTTAAAAAAAATAACCCGAGTCGCGAGATGAGGGTTATAGTTCGAACAACCGTTTATATACGGCCATGGAAAATTGACTGTAGCTGTGTATAATAAAACTATACAAACGTCACGATTATCCAGTGAAAAGTGACGTTACAAACGTGCAGTATTATAAAACGTTTAATAGAAGTTACCTTATCAGAACATACAGCACCCAGTAGAGCCATTTATATAAGTCTTTAATACCACAGCAACAGTAACATCATTATTTAAAGGTTACTCATAACAGGGGTTTACAGCGATCATCCGTTAGGTCTGAAATACGCGATATGTGTATATGTAATATTTTTTGCAAGAAAAATATCTGTTTCTGTATAACAGTAAAAACTTGTACTTACGTAAGCCGATCGCAAGTCCCAATTGTACACAATACCAAAGTCATTGGAAAACAATGGCACGGTCAACACACCAACCAGTCCTCCTCCAAAATGAACTTTAAATATAAAATTGTTTCGAATTCTTTTTATAGTCATATATATATATATTAGCTGAACGATATTACATCATTTAATTTGAAACATGTAATTATGTGTAAAATGTGAAATATTAAAAGTAGAGGGACAATGTTTTGAACTAAATTGTAATAACAAGGTGAAGAGCAGCAAATTGCTCAATATTTAATGTGTTTTAAAGGTAAATTAAGCTTAAAATGCTTTTATATTCTCAAAAACTTTTAATTTTAGTGCCTGATATAGTTTCCAAAAACGTCCAAATGCCATTTATATGAACCATATTTCACTTCTTTTGATTTTTGACAATTATACAGTTAAAGCGTTGCACCATTTTCACCATTTTATGGACTCTTCAACAACATTTGATGAGGCGAAAATAACACGTGAATTAGATAACAAATTCTTTTGAATATTCTGATTTAAAGAATAGAAATGATACATGTAATTACCAGCTGTGGCATCAAGGGGATCATCAACCTTCAGTTTTAGTACGAGCCATGTAAATATCATGTATGAAACACCGCCCAATATACCAATGACAAAACCCATGTAGGATTGAAACTGGTTACACCCTGCACATATTGCTACCTGTCAATGTTTACCTTAAATATGTTATCTGCTGTAACGTTTATTTGAAAAAAATGTTTCTTGAGTATCTAACATGTAGAACTTCTATTCTAAATGTTATAGTGGTGATAAGTCTATCAATAGAGCTATGTAAATTGTAATATTCTTTCTTATAATGTTATAAACGAATGCAGTCCAAGTTGAAGCAGTCACTAAATAAAAACTAAACTGAATCAAGTTAATATCTGTCACAATATAGTTACAAAGGAAGATATATGCTGATAAAATGTATAAAGAAACAGTGATAAAATTAGACAGAATACCATTCCAGTAAGGCAACCGTTTAACGTTGTCAGAAAACTCCATTTCTTGTCACCGAAATATTTTATCTTATTCATAATCAATGTTGTAAAAGCACCGCCACTTGCCGCCAATACTGTGTTCACAACAGCAACGGCGATTGCAGCGCCATCTCCTTCCGCTGAGATTGAACCCTGGGAAGATCCGTTAAAAGCAAAGAACCCAAATACGAGGATAAAACCACCAAGAGAAGCAAACTGAAATTATCAAAATAATAATAGCAACATCAACACTTTACTTTGAAAAAGAAGAAATGTATTGATATGAATATGGACCAGAGAAATAGAAATAGATGTGATGCGATTATATGTCGCCATTTTATAATTTTTTCAAACATACAACAATATGAAAATGTAACATATTGAATTCTCAATTACAACTTATTTTGAAATTCACAAGCATTTAAATTTCCCCATGGACCATAATCGATTAATATTACGTAAACTATTACCACAACATTTCACAGTTTCAAATATAAGCATTGTCAATGACTGACATGTATCCATTTTGAATGGTTCTATATTCAATAAGCAGGTTAAATCAAACTCGTTAATATTCTATCGATTTGAGTAAATTATCAGATATATATCTACTGCCCTGATTTCAACAGTAATTACAAGATCACGATATATGCTTCAGAGAAACATTGTGATATGTTGCAGAGATTAATTATGAACGAAGAATAATTAAGCGTAAAAAGTAGATCGTTTGTGGGTTGACTGCGGAAGAATACAAAACATTGATAAGTAGACCGTTCGCAGTTCTGAGTAAAGTTAAAGAGATGAATACAAAACACCATGCTTCATGTACAAGAAAGAAAATGCAAATTATTGTAGAACCTTTTAGAACACTTTGAATTATTGTAGATAGTGGATTTTGCTTCTATTTTTGCAAACATGTATCTTACAATTTTATAATGCATAAAATTGTCATACCGGTATAATAATATTTAAGAACAGATTCTTTTAGGGAAATTCAGAGAAAGTTTAAGCGGTGTAAAAATTGTCAGTGTTTACCGGAACTGAGTGTCCTCTAATTTCAAGGGGTTCTCCAGTACGGTTATCAAACCTTCCTATACGTGGACCAAGAGCCCAAGCCCCGACAAATGCAACAATACCACCTACCATGTGCACAACTCCGCTTCCTGCAAAATCCTGAAGTATACAGAAATCTTATTGAAATCACTTATCCCAAAGCATTCAAAATTTTAGTACGTGTAAGCATGACAATATGTGTTACTTGTATAACAAAAGCATAACTTTCAAGCTTTTTTCAAGTTTTTTCACGACCTGTCTACAAGTTTCTTCAGTTAACTTCAGCTTATTGTTAAGCTCTATGACTATATGATCGTATATATCGACTGATTATCGCGTCGGATTATGTATTTAAGGATTACTGGAATGCGTTGGTTCAAACCCCGTAAGGGCAAGTCGTTGTTTCTCCACACTCATTGCTTAGTACTGGTTGGTCCTAGGGTGGGATTCGAGAGCCTTCCAATAGGCTTTTAGCTTCCAACACGAACGAGCAAAAACAATAATACTTTAAACGTTAATACTTGGATGGCTCGTCGAAAGAAAAACACACACAATGAAATGTTAGTTTCGGACGGTCATTACACCATTATACAAGATATGTCTAATACAAAAAACCTTTTACAGTCTGATGAATTATTCACTATGGGTATAACCATATGGGACATGCTGATAGCACTATCCCGAGTAAATCAATGTCAACACACGAGCTGCAAAACTTATCCCTTAAATTTGCAATCTCAAAGCTAGCCATTGTATTTTGTCATAACCTATTTATAGCTGACTATATTTAAGATGAACACCATAATGTGAGTACAATTGAAGGATACATGTTCTTTCTTTGAACTTAGAAGTTGGCATAGTAAATTTTGGTGTTAAGGTATATTTCTTAAAAGTGTTTCTAATGATTTCATTGGTGATTGTTTATCATAACAAGAGCTGTTGTAGAACAACGAGCTCGACTATTCTTAATGCTTATTAGAAAAACAAGAACCTTGATAAATGAGAAAGATTTCATTCCAGATACATTATATAGATATGAGTATTGCATATGACAAAAAACGTTCGTAGGTCCAAAATGCATGCTAGAGTTGTAGGCATTGGATAGTGACCTTCAATTGTAAAGTTCAGAAGATATGAATCTCATGTCAAGCGGATACCACCATCAACAGTTTTAAAAATCAATGCTGTATTCAAAGCATACTTATGAATTTGGTAATGATCTTCAATTATGATCACGAAGATATGTATGAAGTTTCAAGTGAACACTAACAGTAGTTTTGAAGATCGGTCTTTAACAGTGACCTACTATGATCTCAGACATGTTTGAAGTTACAAGCAAACTTCTTTAACCAAAGTGTAACAAAACGCCGACACTGACGCCTTGATGAGATGAGTAGAATAGCTCCTTTATTCCACTATTCTTTGAATACTCGAGCTAAAAACATATGTACATGTAGTCCTTGCCTCATTTAATGCTTAATCAATAAACAGGTCATGCATATTGAGAGTTGTATAACCAACATGTTCTAGTTAAATAATCTTCTCATGACTAGATAGTACAACATTAATAAAACATAGATACATTAGAGGCTGAATTATTAATATTGATTCAGGTAAGGATAAAGGGTAGCATGATAAAATAAAAGATAGAAACATGTTCAAAAAATGTTTCCCTTGGGAAAGACGATACAAGTAGAACAGCAGATAGTTCATGTTAGCTTCTTCATTAAAACGTTACATTAAATACAACTTTTTATAGCTATCAAATGTAATTGTTTGTACCGGTAATGTGATTCTGTTTCAGCAGAACAACACTGAAGTGAAATACGGGCAACTTTTTACAGCTGCCACACGGCACTTGACACCTGCTGTTGTGAAGTATAAAAATCTGGAAACAAGTGATCCCTAGGAAGTATTAATCACAACAAAATGACATGAAAATTGCAGACTCGGTTTGATTGAGTCTGTACATGAGGGATAATGAATAAGTGCAACATCCCTTACGCCCCCTAGCACGGCTTGAGCGGTACTCAATTCTCAACACTTACACTTAAATGTTTTATATAAACTTAATTTGTTTCTTCAAGTACCGTTTCCCGCTGATTCTTGATTTTCTTGATTGACAGTATTATTCCGATTATGATTATAATAAGCAATATAATAACAACTCTTGTATTTGTATCTGATTTTCAAAATTAATGTACAATCATTCCATATTATACTTCTTAAACAATGGGCAGAATTTGAAATTCCAATTCTAACATCTAATATTCCAACACCTAATACTAGACCATAAAAAATATTTGTTTATTTCATATTACTTATTCTACTCCAGTTTCTTAACAAAATATATTACAGGTTTCTACATCGCCACACATTGCTGTATTTTGAAGTATATCTTCCAACATACAAAAGGTAATGTGCAGTTGTATTCAGCACAGCATTAAAAAAAGATAAAGTATCACAGCCCCAAACAGAAAAGCTTTAATGTTAGCAATTAGTATTCCTAATGCTCTATAATCAGCCTGAGCAACAGTTATATCAGTAATGGAATAACCTAGATGTTCTTTCAATACAAGATCAAAATATTTATATATAATAATTATTTAAAGTTGTATCTTCTATTTTAAACACATAATCTAGACCAGTAAAAGATGTGTTTCGAAAGCGTAGAATGTTGTATTTTTACCAGTTATGAAGAATATGTAACATACAAGTTCTATTTCACTTTCTGTTATAAATACATTACCATCGACATATATCAGTTAATTGCATTAAATATTATCAAAGCATTTAAGTGGTTACTTTTTATCCGACGCATTTCTACTTAATTTTTATCTCTGACGCGTCAAGTTATCGGTCGTATGTTCAATGCGCTACTTTTTCAATATATAATCAATATATAAGTTTAAGATAGAAGATGTGGTTAAATACAAATGAATTCAAAACTAGGTACTAAAATTTAATTGTTTATATAGCTCTGCAATTTTTATCCAGAGTCAAGAGAATATGGCTATACTGTCACGATACAGAGTAACACAGAAAAACTATGCAAACATTTATATAAATAATTTTATTAGTGTAAAAAATATCCAAATACGCAAAATACGACTAAAATGAGATAAAACATTATATGATATACAATGAATGTTTTGTTTAAAATATATGATACATTGTACAAAATATTGACCCTTTAAATGTTCGAAATCGACAATATAGTAAAAGCAAGTGACGAGTTACTCAGTAAAGATGCGGACAGTATCAGATTAGTGGCGTATATATTTGACAATCACTTAAAGATATTGAACAGAAGAAAAGAAATGTGCTTTCGAATGACAGTAAACTCTGAATATCTATCTATAAAACATATATAAAAATATCAGCTTCAAGTATAAGATATCAAAATGTGATATAACAAATATTAAAATATAACTTAAAATAAAAATATTAAATAAAAACAATATTCAATATACATGTGTACAATGTAACTAAAATATGTGTAAGATTATTCAATGTCATCTATAAGGAATTTTAAAGGCTTTTTGTCCTTTACTTCTTATTAAAATACTCATGTTCATATATACAACTTCTGAATTTTCAATTTATAATTGTGTTGATGATCCAGTAAATGATTTGTTAACGTGACCATTTTTGTTATTCATTGCATCAACTTCAGGGCTCTCTCCAGGGCTTGCTTTTTGTGGTAATCTCATCGAAACATCTAAATATTATAACAAAAATGTATTTAAAATTTGTATTGACAGGACCACCTAATGGTCATTTAATAATTTGTTAAAACGCGACATTCGTGGAGCTCTTAAAGAATAATGAAAATTAATGTTTTCTAGTTCAACAAGGAACAAATCTATGTTATATTAAACAATATTTACGAAAACATTCATAGCAGTTAAAGGTTTCGTAGAATACATGTATATAATTTCTCTAAAAAGCTCGGTTGTTGTTTTAAGGTCAACCAGGATCGAATTTACTGCTTAAACCCGGTTGTTGTTTTAAGGTCAACCAGGATCGAATTTACTGTTTGAAGTCTAATCGAGATTATTTTTATAGACATACGATTGTCTTGTAATACTTATGAATGTCTTTCATTTATTTTATATATATTATAACAACCAATACAATGATTTTCAGAAAATGAAAGTCTAACCTTCATTGATGGCTGTCACTGTACTAGATGCAATTGCTGTTTTCGCCAGACCAGCTAAAGTGTCGCCCTTTTCTCCCCAACCATGACCGTACGCCTCCGCTGGATAGGCGGTTTCTCCGTGTTTCGGTATGTCCAAACCTAATACATAAATCAATTACTTGTTTCTATTACTTATGATTGCCCACATAATTTCTATCAAGCATAATAACATTACTCATTATGTCAAATTGAATGTTTTCTTACGGAACGTCAGTGGTTCTATTTAGGTGCAAGCTTGTGCCTGGAATAATGTAATGGAACAGACACCTGAGGTCTTCCGCCACTAGTAAGTCTGGAACCTCGCCATATGACCATGACAGTGTCTGTGTTAGCAACAAAGTACAGTTATAACTTAAGATATGTCCAACTTGCCGTAGTAGCATAGCTAAGAGCTAAATGGGAAAATAACTGGAAAATAGAAGACACAGTTATGTAACTTGCCAAGATTTGGTTGGACGGAACATGTTTGTTATGCAGGTGGAATAAAAAGAAAATAATAGACAGATTTCCAGCGGCGGGAGTACATGAATAGCATTATTATTCGAAATCGACGTTACAAACATCATCAAATTATAAAACAACATACACACCTTTCATCTCATATTCAAAAGAAACTCGGAGCATTTTTGTTTTCTTGAGAGTGAAGAATAAGATGATACTGAGGATGGCTGACCACACAAATATCGCACAAAGTCCGGCTAGCTGCCATCCTAAATGCTGTAAAGTAACGATTAATATTGCAATAAAACGATAAAAACAAGAGTTGTAGGGTTGGTCAACGCGCTCCACTTCTAACAGTGTTGATACATATCGAAAAAACAAGACACTGCATATTGTAGGAAATAACAGAAAACATTCATTCAGAGTTTTTGGTTAGTGCACTAGGAATTTTTTAAGTTCATCATTATTCAGTCAAAATCCATGTCAGAGTAATGGGCTTTGGGAAGATACCTTCAATAATAAAATAATAAAGCATGAATAATCACGGGTGATGAACTGTTACACGGAGGATGGAGTTCTTATGATAACTTGTCAGATTCAGTTATGATCCTTAGACATTTATTAACATTTAAGTGAATGAGCACCTACAGTTGTTTTTTAAGATTAAAACCAGACTTTTTTTAAAATTGGAACATCACGACGCGCAAATGCCTGAAGTTCATAAATTTTGTTTTATAAGATGTGAAATAAATATTTGAATTATATTTCAGCGATTATTTCAAGATTTTATCACAAATTTATTTCTCATAATACAGAAAAGGTCTTCCAGATACAATATAGTTTATAACCAATTTCTGATAATTTAAGACTTTTCCTTTCAGAATAACGAGTGACAGCAATGAATGACATTTCGTTAATTGATTTGAAAAATAGTTAAAAGTACAAAATAATTATCTGATAACTGGTAAATCTTCATATTCTAATACCATATTGAAACATGATTCATTGGTTCATTACCTGTTGCTATAGCTAAACATTAATTATATAATTGACAGAAAAAACTTTAGTGTTTATAAATTCCATTACGTTATCTTACCTCAATGATTATATAATAATTGATAAATAACTATGGCATCATCTTTATAAATTGTCTTATCAACATATAACATTGTAATAAAATACAAGTACCATTTTAATATAATACAAGAAGTTTTCCCTTCTAAAATGTCAACACGCTGTTATATAAAACAATAAGATATTGATGGTATAGGAAACTAGAAATGTTAACACCATGACTGAAAATGAATTATAGTGTTCTTTGATATGTTTATAAAATTTCTAAAATTATACACAAATCACTAGCCATATATATTATTAATTATAAAAGATTTTGACGGGTTATATGGCCTTAATAAAAACGGTTGCTTTTATAAAAAAAAA